AGTGTTTCGCCACGTGTTACGTGAAAGAAATAATAATTATTATAAATTACTCTACAGTCGAAACTATGACATAAATTGACTTTAACTATTACTATACTATAATTTATTTATCTCGAATAGTGAAACTACTCTTTGTTTTTTTAGTGGACTAAACAATATTTGTAATTTATTAGTTAGTGAAAATGTATACTAAATTATTAATAAAAATATAATAGGATAAAGAGAAAAATAACAAAAATTGATAAAAATAATTGATAAAAAATAATTAAATAAATAGAAAAAGCTATGACAAATATATTATTTACTTTGTATTTTTTATGAATGCATTTTTATGTTAGATAGAAAAAATTGTATCGATAATATAAAAAATAATAGTTTGTACTTAATTATTCAACTTTTGGCTAAAATATATATCTATTTTATATATTGTATTTTTATTATAATACTTATAAAAATTGTACTTTTCAAAAATACTAACAAACAAACTGAAATTGTTTATTATATATAAATTATATATATTTAATATATAAAAAATAATAACATAAATTTGATAGATGAATAAAATATTATTTAACAGCATTCTCGTGTATAACATAGGTCACGACTAGTATACATATAATACAATATATATTTTAAAATTAAAACAAATTATTTTAATTTCAAAATAAATAAAGAATTGTTATATATTATACAACCATTTTAATAATTTTATCATTCTTTTTATTTTCAAAATTTTTAATTGTATTAATTATATTATTATTAAGTATATTAATCATAATTTTATTAATTGTGAGCATTTAATTTAAATTTATTTTCTTAAATATTTAAAAAATGAAAAAAAAACAATGATTATGTGGATCCTATTGATGTATTTATATAATAATAAGTTTTAAATTTTAGTAAATAAATTATTAATTAACAATTTCATTAATTATATAAATTATAAGTATATAATATTTATAGTAAGCTATTAATTATATTAATTAAATATATTTATTTTATTAAAAAAAATTTAAAAAAAAAGAAAAATATTTGGGTTTATATAGGATACATCGAGACCTGTCAAAATGGGTTAGCGGAGCGAATTCGCTCACAATCCACCATAATCTACAAATAAACGGATTATTTGCGGGCCAACCCGTGGCAGAACGGATTAAAATTTCATCAACTCTATCCAGTCTACTGGCGGGTGGCAAGCTAAGTGGGCTAGCCCACAGGCTTTTTAAAAACATTTAAAAATATTAATATTATAAATAATTTTGTAATTAATATTTAAAAATAGCTAAAAATATTTTTATAATAGAATTTAAATAATATATATTAGAAAATAATAAAAATATAAAAATTCTTAATTTTAGATATTATTAGTTAGTGTATTTCAAAAAATAATAATAAGAAATATTTTAAAAATAAATCATAATCAATTTTATGAATTTGTGAATAGATTCTAGAATAAAACAAATTATAAAAATAATAAAATGGAAGACGAACAAAATAAACGATAAAAAATTGAAATTAATTATAACAGGGTTAGAGAAGAAAAACAACATGTAGACAATATTTATTAATTTATTTAAATTAATGATAATATAAATTTTATTTTATTTGTCTTAACTAAAAATATTTCTTTTAGATAGATTAAAAATAATATGTTATTTATTAAGTAAAGTGTACAATATAATTTTTTTGACATTTTTTTTACTCTTTGTACGTTATTTATAAATTAATCGGGTATATTTGTAATTTATATAACATTAAAATATATTCTTATATTAATATTTGGTTACTTTTATTATAATTTTTTTAATATAATAATAAAAAATGATAAAAAAAATATATACATTTTAGTTTAGATAGGTGAATACTAATTATTATATTTACTTGGTCTGCGGGCTAACTCACCCTACTTCAGGCTAATTCACTTTCAACCCATGATCCACGTGGTTGGCCCGTTTAGGCCCGTATTTTAACGAGTTTAAAAAATCACAATTCTTTAAAAGTGAGGCGGGGCGGGCTAACCCGACGGACTCAACCCATTTTGTCGGCTCTCAAATATATAATATATAAATAATAATCACGATACACACAACTATATGCATATATATTTTTATACTCCCTCTATCCCGCAAAAATGGTCAAGTTTCTTTTTAGCATCCGGTTTAAGAAAATTTGATTATATCGTTAGTTATAATTTGATTAGTTAATGTAATATTTATAATGAAATGTTATTTTAAGTATTTTATATTTGATGTAATATTTATATAAAAGTTAAAATACATTTTTTAAAATTTTTTTAATATTTAATATTATAATTATTAAATTATTTTATTTTTAAAAATTGAAAATAAATAAATTTTAATAATTTAAATACCAATTAACAGCCATAATAATAACAAATTTAATATAAACAATACATTAAACATATCGAATTTGATTATTTGTAGAGATAGTTTGATATTACGTACGTACCAAAATTTATAACGCATATCTTATATACCGTACCAAAATTTGTTATATGTTATTTTAGCGTACTGAGATATTATACTAATAATTTGGTATATTGAATTTATAAATAAAAAATACCGAGTTACCGAAATAGCGCATACCATACCAAAAAAATACAGAAAATACCAAATATTGGTATACCGAACTTTTTCAGTATGGCATCGATATATTTTTTTAATATACCGAAAAATTTGGTACTGTATACAATATGGTCCGGTATTATTGATATACCGTATCGAGTCATTTTTACGCTGAAATATTAAAATTTAAAATAAATTAAAATTTTGAGAATATATTAAAAACTTACTTATTTCAGCATCAATACACGAAATCAGTGGCGGAACTAGGAATCTAAACAAGGGCCGCACTTCTTACACAAAATAAATATTAACACTAAAAGTTATAAATTTTAATATAAGCAATATTAAACATTGTTCAAATAAAACTATAAATTCGACACTACAAATTATAAATTCTAGTACAAGCAATATAAAACAATCGTGCAAATAAAATTATACATCCGACAATTGAATTCTTCGACTTTCCATATTCTGAAAACGGTGCAAAATAGCTTCATTTTTTATTTTTGCAAAAATTTCTTTTTCAATAAAGCATTGTAAACTATCCGTGAGAAATTCATCCCCTATTTTGTTACGCAAATCATTCTTAATAATCTTCATCGCGGAGAAAGATCTTTCAACAGTAGCGGTTGCAACCAAAAAAACAATGCCAATTCAACGAGTCGATATACCAACTTCAGAGCAGTGTGCCAGTTTCTTTCGACCATTCTTTTTGCAAGATCACCAATACTTTGAAGACCGGGAAAAAAGGCACACTCAGATTTTTTTACTATCGCAATATATTGTTTAAGTTCTTCAGTTAGCAAAACTTTATCAAAAAAATCCTCCGAATATAATTCAGCAAGACGCAGTAACTTATCAAAATCAAAGCTAGCAAACGAATCTCGAGGATCAAGGCATGCAATGCCACATAAAAAGTTCTGAACTTGACTCCGCAAAACGATTGTCAATTTCTTGTGCAATGAGATCAACAATCTTCCATGATAAAAACAAAAAAAAAAATATTTATATAATAAATATATCATAAAACACATGTAATATATTTAAATATTATATATATTTACAAACAAATACCTAAAAGAATATATCACATCGAAAAAAGTGCAAATAAGTCTTTGGTTGGTCATCGACTTTCCTTTCAAATCTAGCTCGACCAGACAAAGGATCTTCCAAATTCGGTAAAAAAATATCCTTTTCAAAGCAAAATTTTTTGATCGTTTCCAATAAATCATCCCAACCATCTTCTCTGTACAACTTCAAATCATTTTTCAATGTTCAAATCAAAGCCACGGCATTACCAATGTTCTGTGTTTTTTCTTGAAGGGCTGCCGACAATATACTTGTTTTTGCTAACAATTTTAACATGAAATGAGCAATGAAGACAAATTCGAAACTCATCATTTTACCAATTAGACCTATTGCAGTTCCTCGACTTTTTTTATCCGGGCCATCCTCCGAAATAGTATCAAGAACATCTTTTATTGCATCCCACATATTTAAAATTCGGTCTAATGTCCTATAATAAGAACCCCAACGAGTATCACCTGGACGAGCCAAACTTGTTTCTTGTTTTTTTTTTCTTTTCCTTTAACAATTTCACCACACTCAATCCGCCAAACAAGATCTTTATGGTGTTTTTGTCGAATCGCATCCCTTCTTTTACATGAAACTCCAACAAAATTCACAATACGGCTTAAATGATCAAAAAATCGCTTACTAATACCTGATCCTTTGAAGTTGCAACAACCACTAACTGAAGCTGATGAGCAAAACAATGAATATAATATGCTTGCTTATGTTCATTTAAGATGAGTGTTTTAAGACCATGAAACTCACCTCGTATGTTGGAAGCCCCATTATAACCTTGACCTCTCAAGTTAAAAAGTGATAAACCATTCCTTAAAAAAAAAAAAAAAATTCATCAATAGAACCTTTTAAAGAGTTTGAAGTAATATCTCACTAACATGTACGTCCAACGAATCGCTCATTCACTTCTATTCTATTGTTTACATATCTCAAAACAATAGACATTTGTTCCTTCACAAAACTGTCTCGAGCCTCATCAATCAAAATTGAGAAAAAATTGTCTCCAATTTCATCAAAAATAACTTTCTTCACTTCCATAGCACAAGCATTAATAATATCCTTCTGAATCTTAGGAGAAATCAACTGATTATTAGCCGGAGCATTTAAGTTCATCAGTTTCTTAACATCTTCATTATGATCACAATGCCAATTCAAAATTTTAAGAAAATTAACTCTTTGTAAAGATGTTTCCGACTTATTATGGCCACGAAAAGCAAAACTCTGTCGTAAAATCAATCGAACTACGTTCACAACCGCTGTCAAACGAACACGATAATCAAGCTCTATTTCTTTAATTCTTTGGGATAACAAGTAATCAACATTGTTCCTCTAATCCCTAAATGATGAAGCTTGAATTTTAGCACCATGATATGCACTTCTTGTATCGCCTACATGCTCTTTAAATTTGTCTAAGGCTCTTTTCCAATTTTTGAACCCAACTTCTGTAAAAGTAGTATCTCCACCATGTTTATGGCCTTTACTAAACAAGTAGCATACTAAACAAAATGCAGCATCTTTTTTAACACTATATTCAAGCCAATCAAATTTGTCAAACCATGCCACTTGAAACTTTCTCATAAATTTACCCAAGCTACTTTTTGGAAAATTGCATTCACGTGGTTGACATGGACCTTTAGCCAAATATCGCCTCCTCAATCCATCTCTAATGTTAACATGATAACTATCAATAGGTTGACGCAATCCTGGATCACCAACTATCTCAATTTCCGACGATAACTCTACTTCTATCCATGGAATCTTAGTTGGTTCAGCTTCTTTGTCATTTCTACTCATTTCAGTTGGACTAGATGAATTTGGAGTTGTCCTTTTGATTTAATAATAAACTTATCCATAATTTAATACCTAAAAAAATAACAATAAATTCATCAAATTGACAACAATAAAAATTATAGGAAATCAATTCTAATTCAAAAAATACAAAAGTATTGAACTAAAAGAATAATCTAAAGTATTTAAAATACCGAAATACAATATGAAATCAAATTCACCAACAATAATCTAATAAATAATAACACCAAAACTCAAATAAAAAAACAGTAAACAAACCAACAAAAAATAATGCAGTATTTAAATAACTTACAAGATGTTGTCTAGATTATAACTTTAAGACAAATCCAATGTAGTTGTCAAATGACCAAATCCAAATCCAAAAACTGCATACAATCAAACCATCAATTACTTCTTAATTTTCTTTCCAATGATTCAATCCAAAGTTTCAAATCAAATACCAATACAATTGTAATATATTTTGATAAAGTGTATCAATATAAATATTTGTACGTTTAAGACAATTACAATACAATTCATAAATAACTAAAAAAATAAAGAGAAATTAAAATTAAAAGTAATAAATAAACAATAATTTATATTTTAAAACTTACAAGAAATTTAGAAACTACAGGCAATGCAGAACTGCGCACAGAAGGGCGAATGGCCTACCAACAATCGCCGACGTGAAGGAAGGAATGAAGGAAAGAAAGAAAGGACTAGCCGACTCGCCTAGTTGTCAAAGATGAAACCGTGGAGCAGTAGCAATCAGTACACAAATTCACAAAAGAGAAGGAATTGAACGATTATTGAAAATTTTAGAATTGAAAATAAAATTAAGTTAAAATTAAATTTAATAGTAAATAATTAATTATAAAAATATATATATAAAAAGAAAAAAGGCTGGCTTGGCGGGCTAGCATGGGTGGGCTGGTCACTAATATATATATATATATTTTTTAAATACAATAAAAAATATAAAAAATTGAGCCCTCAAATATGTCTGCACGAAATTATTGATATATACCGATATATCGAATACTAAAATATCAAAATATATATAGTATTTTTAGTATATAAATGCTAAAAGTATATGCAATTACTATACTGAAAAAGTTCGGTACGACATCATACTGTATAAAAATTTATGATATACAATAATTTTGATATTTTTAGTATTTTTTTCATACAGTACATATATTATTTGAGCAAATTGATATTTTTCACTCTTACTTATTGATAAGATAAATTTATTTTATTTTATTTTTATTTTATGAAATATAAAAATAAAATTCAATATTAAATTTAATTATTAACTAATTTTCAATAGTAAAATATCCAATAATTTTTTTTATATTATATTTAAAATTTTAAATATAACATAAACATTTATTTATATTATATTAAATATTTATTTTAGTTTTTATTATTCAAAATTCTAGCTATATTTTTAATATTACAATCAAGCAAACAATAAAAAACTAGAGGTAATAGTAATTTAATAAAATATAATTAAATTTATAATTATAATTAATATTTACTAATTATTATTACTATATTAGATAACCTGACCAATTTCGCAGGATTTCTATAAAATGAAAAGTTGACCAATTTCGTTGAAAGGGTTGAGTATATATTAAGTTATATTTTATATAAAAAATTTATTTAATTTATTTATTATCCAAATTATTATCGTCCATTACATCTAATACATAAATATTTTAGTTAAAATAATTATTGAAGTCAAAATATATTTTCAACTAAAACTAATTCAATCTAAAAGATATTTCATATGTATACAGTTACTGTACAGATTAAATATAATTAACATTACTCTGATAATACAATAATATATATCCAATAATATATTTTCTCTGTCCATAACAAAATATTTTTATTTTTCTATTTTAGTCTGTTCATATCAAAGTATCTATTTCTCTTTTCTTAAGTAATTCACTACAAGAAAATATCATTTTTGTAACGAGATTTTTTTCGTCATTAAATTCACTTTTTTCGTTACTAATTATATTAGAGACTGAATTAATGATTGAATTACGTTAGCTATGTGATCTTTAGTGATAGAATTCCGTTACAAATATACTATTTTTTTTTGTAGTGATTGTATTATCTAACATTACAAATACTCTTACAACTTACAATATATTACAGAAATGTCATTACCTTTATATCACACCATACTAATATAAGATTATTTTAGTCATTTCTATTTTATTTATATTACATTCCAATATAATACTAATATTTTTAAAATTACGAGCAAAAAGTAAATTGATAACTAGGGAGGGAGTATTAGATATAAATATACAATATACATAAGACTAATAACGCATATTAATATTTTATATTACTTTTATATATTGATTACATATTTTTTGTTATATTTTTTAATATTATTTATAGTACTTTTATATATTGATTACTGACAAATTCTGAATGAGCATGGCAACCGAATCACTTTGTACAACAAAAATGACCCAAATAATGAATTAATTTAAAAATGCAACGGGTAAGAAAGGGCTGGCTATTTGTGTTTTTCCGTTTAGATAGTTAAAAGGGGCCCTTAAGGTGTATTTGGGGACAAATTATTCCAAGCCAACTTGACCAATTAATTTATTTATTTTTCACTGATCCCCTATTGTGTGGAGGTTGTAACTTGTAAATACTATTATTAGTCTATTAGATAATAATATAATGATAAAATAATTGAAAAAAGTAGGAAGGAGGAATTGACTCAGCTGCTCGTTCTTGTTCTTCTTCATGTTGGATGCCACGTGGAGCATTATGAGAGGGTGGACCAAGTCAGGTCAAACGTGAGAATGGACGCCGCGTATAATGTCGGAACAAGGTAAGGTTTTATTTGGGGCAGCTGCCTCCCTCCCATATGTCCCTTTGACACCTAGTCCCTCATCTACTATCTTTTCTCATATTTAGTCCCTTTTTTGTTTCTGAAACAACGTACAAGCTTCTGGACCCGTGTTTCTGTCAAATTTTTTCAAATTTTGTTATTTGTACTTTACATTCTCCGAAAAAAATATTTTTTTTTTTTTCATCAAATATTATTTTTATATCATATTCAAATTTATTTTTTTCCAAATTCATTAAAAGAAATACACCGAACGATTCTCCGTCATAAATACTATTTGTTTTTACCTTATACACGCGCCCCTAATTGAAATCAAATCGCGTTTTAACCATCAAAGTCAAAAATGCCTCACCATTTAACTTATAAGATTTTATTTTTCCTTTTTTTTATAGAGAAAAGAATTTATCTTTTTATTTATCTATAATATATTTTACAGTAAAATTATAAATATATACTATAAATTAAATGGTACTTTTTTTTTATGCTTCTATCATATTGTATAACCTATAAATAATAGTCTTATAATATAACCTATAAATAAAAAAAAATTAAATAGCTAATAATAAAATAGTGGTGTACATTGGAAAAAATAGTAATAAAGCCGTTATTAGTTTTTTAAAGGAGATTGTAATAAAATTGTGGATGCTTATAAATGGATTGTCAAAAGTTTAAATTAAAAATATACGCGAGAGAGATAATGGCGATTCAGGCGATTCAAAATTCGGTGGGGAAAGCAGCTTCAATCCTCAAGTGGCGTCGATCAATAGCTTCAGTATTTGTTGGAAATCTTTCTTTTGCCGAGGATTTCTGGAAGTTGGTTCTGTCGTTTAACGTTGTTGTGGGGGTTCGCGATTGGTTTGTTCCGAAAAGGGGTAGATCTTGAGGCAAGTCCTCTTTCGGTTATGTGCGTTTCAAAAGTCTGAAGGAGGTGGGGAAGGTGGTGGGAAGTTTTAATGGTTGGCGTTGGAAAGGGCGGCATCTTCGGCTAAACCTGGAAGAGGAGGTTAGGAAAGCCCATAAAGTTAGATCTCCTGGGATTATTTCGAACTCAAACATTGCAGACAGTAGAAGTTACGTAAAGGTGGTGGTTAGGTCAAATAGTAAGGACATTCAGTCAGCTTCTAATACGGGGGAGAACATAAGGGAGGGGGTGACTCCGTTGGAGCTCTTGCCAAAATCAAATATGGTGGATGCCTTATCAACTGTTATCGTGGTGGGGATTCGAGACTTACGCTCAATGGAAACTTTTTCTCAAGTTCTATTTGAAGGATTTGCCCAGTGCGGTAGTCTCACATATATGGGAGGTTGTATGATGTTGGTAGAATTCGAATCACTGGTAGCTAGAAATCAGTTTCGTGAGGCGACTTTGTCTTCTTTCCAAGATCCGATGTTGTGGAAGAAAGCCTGGGGGCGGAATCTAAAGCCCCTACAGCGTTTGGTTTGATCAAAGTGAGGGGAATTCCGATCCAAGTTTGGGGCGAATGTGCTTTCCAAAGGATAGCAGCAGAGTAGGGTGAATATATTGATGTGGAGGAGGCCACCCGAGATCAACTTCGGTTAGATAAGACCAAAATTCTAGTACTCATGGACAAGAGGGTTAGCGTACCAGATAAACAGTGGGTCAAGGTGAAGGGAGTTTGGTGTTTGCTTAGGCTCAAGTTGGAAGATGTTAACGGTCAAGGTGAAGGGAGTTTGGTGTTTGCTTAGGCTCAAGTTGGAAGATGTTGAGAGCGTCATCAAAATTAGGGAATCAGGGACGTTCCCCTTCAACGCCTTAAGTTTCTCGATGATCCAAAAGAAAACTCCAGAACTCAATTTTCTTTGAGGTGATTTATCCCCCCATCAAGCGGAGCCCCCAAAGTTGTAAGCCTGTTGCAGGGTTCCGATTGGCCCTTTGCCTCTTGTGATGTCCTATGAAAGCCCGATTAAATCGGGAGTGAATTTAGCGAAGAGGCGTTTTATTGGTGGGAGGGGGCGATTCCAGGTTTGTCACGAGAAGGAAGAAAAAAAAGAATAGGAAGGTCAATAGTAGGAGTTTGGAGAATAAGGGCGTTCCGCTTAAGGGGGTGGGGGATAGCGTGGATTCTGAGGTTGTGGTAGCCGAAACTGAGGTGGAAAGTCA